TTAAAGTTTAAATTGCACAAAACTATTAATTTATATTTTTCCTAGAAAAAATATCATAAACTTTATATTAATAATAATAAAAAAGTAATGCTTGAAAATTATTCATTATTTTCATTTAACACGCATTTCTTGTTAAAGTAAATTATACTAATATTCTAGAGTTTTTTAACAGTACATGTAGGGATAAAAACGGATAAAAAATATTAACAGTTTAGACAATTAAAAAATAATGGAATCGAATATTTTAACAACCAAAATTTGATTTGATCTATTCATAAAATGTACTTCATATTGATTTCACAGAATAATGTGTAAAATTTGTTTTCAACTATTAAAATTAAAAAATAAATAAATCGCTAACTATATTGCAAAAAATTTGTTAATTTGAATGTTTCAATTTAAACATAAGTTAAAATAATAAATAAATATTTTTTAGGAATATATAATACTATCTTTTTAATAAACTTATGTAGCGAATATGCATATGGATTTTACATATATTATAGGTCTTTTATTACATTACTATCATATCTATAATATTGTATAATCGTACGTATTTGTTCTGTGCTTAATCTTAAAAGCAATCTAATATAGAAAAATAAAAAATATTGAATGCATGTGTAGATTGGAAATCTCTGTTTCCGGCAGAAAATTAGGATCATCAATTTCGGCAAATTATTTATTCTTATAAATCCAGCGTATTATGATTATCGTTACTGATAAAATCTATGACAACAGAACAGTACAATAATTCCGAATTTTGATTAGTATCTCAATTTTTCATTACGTATTAATCAAAGATGCACTAATAAAATTTTGGTAGATAGTTTATCATGCATTATACGTTTATTAAGTCAAAATCGAAATACATTAAAGTCAATTCACATACAAAAAAAAAATACATTTTTTTTGTAATATACAAATTTATAAATATAATATGATATTGTTTTTCATTTTATCTAAATATTAATAAACGTTAATAGTCGCTGCTATTACATTCAAAGTATAAATAAACACATTATAATATCAAATAATATAATTTTTACAAGAATTTCTATAGAAATACTACTATAATTTTTATAGAAATTTAAACTATACATTCCATGTTGTTTATTTATGCTCCGAATATATATGAAAATAATATTTTATTAATTAATTATGTTAAGATGTAAGAAAAAAAAAATTTTGTAGGGTATACGATGTCATAATTGACAATATTTTTTATCCTAAAATGCTAATATGTAGAATAATACGTTTAATAAGTACAATTATTTCCAAAAATTAACGCACCAAGTTATTTATAATTTTGAAGAACAAAAATAATAATTAATACACAAGTATAAAAGATTACCAATAAAACAAGAATATTAACAAAAAACGTATTCAAAGTATCTAAAAAATTGCAATACTTCGGAAAGTGATTTAAGTCCAAAAAAGGAAAAAAGCTATATAAACATAAGTTCGGAAATAACTTATTTTTAAATTATAACTACATTTACGTTAAAAAAAATTGTAATTCATTTTTTATAATTACTATAATAACTTATTTCATACTGTTTTAACTATATTTTTTTGCGTTACTCAGGATATACCACGTGGAGATATAGTGCGCTGATATGTCTCTAGTAAAATATAAAAAATGTTTTAAATAGAAGAAATTAAAAAATCAGATAGGCGGAACAGAATATGTTTCGGCATGATGCATCTTGGATGACGCCAAAATTATCCAAAATGTAGTTATTTATATCATTATTTATGTTACAAAACAATGAAATAACATACGATTGTGATTATGAAAAATATATTATATCTTTCTTAACATAAAAGTGGTTATAATTCGAAAACTACGTATTTCCGAATCGACCATTATATAACTTCTTTTTCCTTCTTAAGTCGAATCACTTCTTGTAGTATTGCGGGTGATTTCCAGATCGACACTTGTATAAAATGAAGAATAATTCTAAATATGCATTATAATGCATGCAAAAATAAACTGCATTATTCGAATACTCGAAATGAATGATACGTTTTTAATTGTCTCAGATTTGTTTTTGAAGTACAATTAATTACTAAAGACGGAATTATTCTTTGATAAACGTTGTTATTTAGTTTAATGATTCTATTTACTTTTAATTGGCTACATTATATTTATATTTTAATTATTAATATCGTTAAACATAATAATATACTTGACGCGTTTAAATTTACATTCTAAATTTTTTTTAGTTACATCGCATGTTTTTGTTTACATCGCATGTCGATTTTTCGAAAAAAAAAGCATAGCATCCAATTTACACTCTTTGCAATACGTATTTAGTCTTTTAAATATAATAATGTGTAATACTATTATATAAATCATATTTGCAAATTAAATAACTTTTAACAGTTTAAAAAAGTTGTTAATAAAATACGATTTGTGTAAAATAATATAGATTATTATATTTAAAAAAAATTATTATTTAAATTGTATGACCTTATTACGATAAACACTTATCAGAGATGCATGCTTTATTCTTTGATCTTCCAGCCAACTATGAATGCTACTTGTCTGCGTAAGGCTTTTATAGTCAAATGAGAATCCGCTGTATAATGTTTATTCAACATCTGAATCTATAAAAATGATAAATATGTAAAATAAGGACATTAGCACAATTGGTTTTCAAAAAAGTTTATTATAATAATAATTTAGAAAAATCGTATTTCAAAAACTGAAATCATTACTTGGACTGGGAAATTGTTCATCTCCCGGCACTTATAAACTGTTTCAATTCGTATAGTGCTATGTATAACAATTTTAATACTTCTCCAAATCATATATTACAGGTAAAATTAATTAAAAAGTTCTTCTATCATCATGTAACTTTTTCTGTATGACTGAAATCTAAAAAGTGAAAATATTTGATAATTTTAGTAAAAAAAGTTTTTATTTTTTACATTTCTGACTTACGAAAAAAAGTTACATAACCAATACTTTTGATAAAATAAAAAATTGCACTCTTCCTAAAATCATTTTCTTCTTAAAATCAAAAAAGCTAATTTAAGAAATTTTTTAAAACTTAATAAATGTGGACTATTGAAACAGAGAGTAAAATATCCTTTGAACAATGCCTTATATTAACAGCAGCTTTGAATTCTTTTCGGATTCAATATGGTCTATAACATCTGTAATCTTGTTTTTGCTAATATTTATTGTTTATAT